GAATACAAGGAATAACACATCTTCACTTATATGACCCTTTGTGCAACGACAGCTTGCTGAGTGGATGCAACGATACTGCTTTGTAAGAATCATTTCGTCCACCTATAAAGATTGAAAAACACAACAATCTCAAATCCCTGCGATTCATGAGCCTGTAAATACAATGCGCACGCTTCCAAACTACAGAATCTGAGAACCCAGAAGTATTTCGCAGCGCCAAACACTATCCAATTTAAAGTCTAACTGCTCTACAGAATACAACATCCGCCTAGTGAGATTGAAAACTCAAATCCCTGTATTTCATGAGGCTATAAAAATAACATATGCACGCTCAAACTATCGATATCAGCCAAATACCGGAATACACATTCAATTTTAACAGTATAATCTCAAAGATTTACATGCGTTTCGGAGTCTACACTAATCATCCAGTTTATAGGTCTATCTAGAAATCTTAGCAACAAGAATTCTGAATGCATGTCAATCGTTTCCAAATCGTTAAATCCGCAAGTCCCACCATATAAATATCAAAGCTTTTAAACAAAATCTACCACAAATTTAAGCAATTACTTAATCCAAACAAAAACCACATTAATCTTGTACGGAGTTTACAACTTTGGCGCAAAAAAAAAAAAAAAGAAGCAAAATTAAAGGAAAACTAAGAACCTGCAAAATCCTAGATCATATCAAAACCCACTGCAACGGAGGGAAAGCAGCTCAGAGTGGACTAGATCGTAATTAACATGAAATGAGGACCCAGTTTCTCACCTCAGCCGTCACCTCATAAATGAATTGGATGCAGAAAGCTTCATCAGTCGCCGTACAGCAGACATCCGCAGATCAAAAATCCCCCTTCAACCTTGGCTCCAAAACCCTAGAAATCACATCTCTGCAAATTCGAAAAGAAATTCGGGTTTTCACAAGCAACAGAAGAAAGATATAAGGAGATTGAAGAAATTTACATTTCGCAACCAAGTAAGCAGCGGGAAATTTGGGTCTGCTTCAGGGGCAAAATCGTCCAGAGAAAAAATACAGTGACGGAGGCACTGATGGCATGGCAAGCCCAAAATGGTATCTGGCAGAGAGAGAATCGAAAGACGAAAGCTTTGGCTTCCAAAACAGAAGAATTTGATTTGCTGTGGTTTGAGTGACCCGCCGTTGCTTTATGGGCGACGACAACGAACAACTTCGCGCCACGTACTGCAGGCGGAGGTGGCGGCTTTGTGGATTGTGCAGTGGGGACCGCAGTGTCTTACTTGTCATTCAGCCGTGAAAAGACAAGCGACGCCCATTGTTTTACAGTCTTACCGCCGGTGGAAAGTTTAAAATTTCCCCGCAAAAAGCGCCAAAAAAAAATATTCTTCCAGTACAAATTTCCTCTGGCAAGAAAGCCTTTTGCTTTGAACAATGCTAAGCGGCTCTTTGAAAGTGGACTCGTGAATTCTTTGTCATTTTATATTTTAACATTAATTCTCAAGCTAATATTACTTAGAAAGTCTCGTTTTTGAGTTTTGAGATAGTCCCATGAGCATTTGTCTTTTGCTTTAGGAGTGCAAATTTACTTATCTCTTTTAAGGTGTTCTCTCATTGAACAGTTTGATATATTTATTTAAGACACGACTTTTGAAATTGAAAAGAAAAAAGTTTTTGCATGCTATTTTTCTCTTTAAAACATCACTCTTTTTTTCTCCACATATAGTCCAAAGTAACTTAAAGCGTTATCATACGTAGTTCAATTGATATAACTTAACGCGTTACTACACCAACTACCTGACAATACCACCGACTAATTGGCTACTAATCATCACAATCTACAATTACTAATTAAGGTATTTTGATTAAATAAATTAATTGACACTAAAAATAAGCAAGGGTGTGAAGAAAGAGAAATTTAGTGTGCATAAATAATTTATTTCATTTGTCTGATCATCTTATTTGACTTTCAATTTGGTTTTGAGTGCATATTCTTATCCCGTCGAATTGTAGGTTATTTTCTTTCATTTAAGTAGGAAAAACTAAATGAAGATGTCATAAATTGGCACTTGGGGACAAATTGACACATTTTGAAAGGTTATGCGGGTTAAAATCAACTCAAAGTTGAGCGGAAAAATCGGAAGAGTGATAGGAGTCCATGGACATTGGCACACTATTAGCCTGATCTTTTCGAATACTAAAGTTAGCCGCCCATGCGTGTGTGAGTGGTGACTGTTGATGGGAAGTGAAAATCTAAATCCAGCAAACCAGTCTGTCAAACCCAACAACCAGAATTACAGTTAATAGTAACTTTAAGAACAAGACTAATCAGCAAGCAGCTCTGCAAGTTTTCTTCTCTCCTTCAATATATGATAGTCAATAGATTATATGTAGTTGTTTTATTCACAGTCAAACATGCATCTGGTATGAAACTCAAGAGAAAAAGGAAGAAAATGCGTACTCTCCACAAAAAACAATGGAGGTGTCTTAAGTTCTAAGCATGCTAGACTCGCATTCAAATCTGCGTCGAGGCCATCCAACGCTAATGGAAGCAATCTACCTTTACGGTTTTGCAGATCCATAAGTCTGTTTAACTCACATTCTCGCACTCCAATACTCTTTTCCCAGCTCAAGCGACAGCGTTTGCAGAAGGCTTGTGCTCTTGGAGTGAGATCACTGTTTCAAAAGCACCAACCAAGGCCTTGACCTTACTCTTCCTGGTTTCAGCAAGTTTACTTGCTGTCTCTTCAATCACGTTGTTGAACAACCCTTTTTCATCTCTCTTTCCCTGAACATCTTGATGTCTCAAAACAACCTGTTCTGCACCAGGTTCGGTACTAACTATATCAGCACCGACGCCTCTCTTCTTAAAGCTTCGCCTTAGGGAAACAGCTTTGACATTTTGGTTATCTCCCAACACTATTCCTCGCCTGAATTTGAGCCTCCTTGGATTGGAATTCTCAAATTTTACGTCGACAACCTTTCCCCTCCTGAATTTTAAAGTTTCGCCATCCTTGTCTTCAGAACAAACCATCCCAGACTTACTGGGTTTCCCTTTGCCATCCTCGCCTAGGATCTCTGCATTGTCAATATAGTCAACTTCATTGTCTTCTGAAAAAGAGCTAACTTCTGTTTCGCTCATTGTATATCCAGACCCTTGATCTTCTCCTTCATGGGATGAAAAGGACATAGAGTTTTGGACAGATACAGACTTGGGTGTTGGCGACGCTGAACGTGGTGATGGTTCAACTTCACAATTTCTGTTTTGATCAGATTCCAGAGATTTGCTATTCTCTGTCTCAACCTTAATGACATACAAGGTCTTCTCTTGTACCTCATCACTGTTGACTTGCTTAGGTTGAGCTTTTCTGGTCTTGTTCTGGTTCTTAAGAGGAGACACAACGTTCACGGGCCTGTTCTTCCGTGCTTTTAAGCTTGCAACTCTCCTGAGAGAAGGTTTGGTGGACAATGATGCTCTTGGGGACGACAAAACTCTTTTCAAAGTCACTAAGGATGCTCCGGCCCCTTTGCCTATCTTGCCATCACTGTTTGATTTGCCTTTTAAACCCCCAGCAGATTCAGAAGACACTTTCTTCAAAGCTGAAGATTTTATCTTGAAAGAGGTCCCTGTCCTTTGGCCTATCATTGAATTACGGTTTCTTGGAGCAGTTAAACCTCCTGAGGTATCAGGAGAGGGTAACTCTTTCACTGCCAAAGATTTGCGCTTTGAAGAAGTGACATGCTTTGCAGACAAGTTCTTTTCCTTCAGTCCTATCGAACCATTCTTTGAAGAGACTTCCAGCTTATCAGGAGATGGCGAAACTTCCTGCTTCATGATTTTAGGCGCAGCAGAGACATGGGGTTTGGAACATGAATCAGAAGAGGATGAAACTCCGTGCTTCATGATTTTAGGTGCAGCAGGGACATGGGTTTTGGAAAATGAATCAGAAGAGGATGAAACTTCCCGCTTCATGATTTTAGGCGCAACAGAGATATGGGGTTTGGAACACGAGTCAGAAGAGGATGAAACTTCCTGCTTCATGGTTTTAGGCGCAGCGTTGACATGGGGTTTCAAACAGGATGACAATTTCGACTTGGCTGATGATGTCTTCTTACTCTCGGCCTGAGGCACACTCCCAACAGAACTTTGGCTGTCAGTCGATTTTTTTGACACTAGCTGCTTGGTAACGTTACAGGTATCAGGTAAAAGGGTTTTCAAATCAGGCAAAAGAGTCTTCAAATCCGGCGAGGGTTTAATCTTGACCACCGAGAGATTCTCCCTCTCTGGAATAACCATACTTTCTTCTGAATTTTGGGTGCTAGGTGATTTTGTTGGAATCCTTCTTGGTACGGACTTTATAGGACATCTTGCCTTCACTTCCTCTTCATGTTTCCTCCCATATTTACAATTGTCATGACAGGACCCAGTAGAAGCTCTGAGATAACGAGGAATTTTTTCTCCAGTGTTTAACGAGAATATTTTCCCTGTAGAATTTCTTCTTGGATTACGCTCTTCTGGTTTTGTTATTTCACGGGTCACTGGCAAGTTGATACTCAAATCATCCATGGGAAGGAGTGAGATATTTCAGACGAATCTCAGAACAGAAATCCTGAAAACCTGCAAAAATACAAAATTAAAATGGTGTAGATTACAACTTTCTATTGCAATTAGCAGTTACAGATAGCTAAATTTTAACAAAGTGTCAACCTGGTGAAAGGTATAAAAGGTTACGCAGTTACAGTCGCTAAGTGAGATCAATAATACGTATACATAAACTCAGTTTGGTATGATTTATTAAACATCGAGATCAAATTACAAACATCTGTAGTACCAAATTCTGCGGTGAAATAAACAGTAATCTGCCCAACGGTATATATAAAATTAGATATTCAAGTTGATTTTGCAATTTTTGAAGGTTTAAGACCAGAGCATCAGACTTTTTTTTTTAATTTAAAACCTACTATGCCATCTTAATCCACTTAAACACAGAAGACGGTAATATAATCACTTTGTTATCGCATAATGAAGTAGCACTGTGTTAGTGGAGAGTTAGCATTTTCTAATCGCTCTGAGCGGGGGAAGCAAGTTGGCTAATCTCAGAGTCTTGGTTCTTTCTAACCACTTCGTGCAGGTTTAGAGAGTAAGGCTACTATTGTAGTAGACTTATGTGTAGTTCGATTCGCATACTCCATTGTCATCCTTTCATTAAAAAAAAAGTACATCTAAAAGAACTGGCAAGATATTAATGGGAGAGGAAACCAAAAAGAGAAACATTAACAGAACAAATCGGTAACAAAAATCAATTGGCATCTGAACTAACATCCTAATTATCAAACAATCCACTAACAACCAATTCCAATGCCAAAAACGACGATTCGTCTGAAGAAGAAATCCCAGAAAAAGGCTGTCATGCAATTTTTTTTTTTACATGAGGAGAAGACAAACTAAAAAGCAGCAACTTTTGGGTTACATTCAAAGGGAAAAACCAATTGAAGTAGCAAAAAATTAGCTTGAACCTCCCAACCTTAAGACCAATAATAAAGTACCCGTGATCATAACATTATGCAATCCCAAACCGATCGCCAGAAATTGAATTTATAAGTCGATTAAAAAAACAAAAACATCATAACCAAGCAAGGCAATGGACAAAACCCAGAAACAATCCCCAAACCTCTAACGATTAAGAAAACAAAGACGTACCCAGAAATGAGAGCTCAGTGGAAGCTTTGATTACACAAAACCCAATACCAAAATCACAAATTTAATAGAACCCAGTTCATGATTTCTGTCAAAGACTAAAACTCATCGTGCCAAAAAGTGATTGAAATAGGGTTCTCATAGATTCAGATACGACTAGAGAGAGAGAGAGAGAGAGAGAGAGAGAGAGGAGAGAGAAAGCATACCTTTTTATCGTCTGCTACTCAACAGAAAGCGAAGAAAAAGGTTACGGATGAATGAATGAATGAGGCCTGCTCGATGAGGAAGTAAAAGGAGAAGAGAGAGAGAGAGAGAGAGAGAGGAGAGTAAAGGCCACTCCTTCTTGCTCTTTGCTTTTTTGGGTGTGAAGGATTTTGCTTCAGAGATCGTGCAAGCAACTGTTTCTAGTTTTCTTCTGGTTTTGGTTTGGTGGGGTTTTTTTCTCGGCGCTTTACGCGTTGGTTATGGAATCCAGGAAAATACAAGAGAGGGAAAAAAAGTGGGGGGAATTTGGTTTTGGTCCCACTCTCATTTTTTTGTTGAAACAAAGATGATATTTTTGGAGGAAAGTTCCAAAATCCAAAATTCCTAACTCATATTGATTTGTGATTTTTTTTTTTTTGTGAAAGTTGTTTGCTTTGTATAATGGATTGCTTGTAGAAGCTTTGGACTTCGAATTTGGATCATCTCCGGACCTTACTTTTCGGAGGCGAAGAACCAAAAAATTTGGGCTCTTAGTTTATGTGGAAAAGATATCAGAGTCTGTAGTTTGTGTGATGTGAATGGTTCGGATTGCCTAATCCTTAGGCTTCGAATAGTAGGATCTAGAGAGGATCTTTGTCCTTGGACTTCTTGCCAAACAAAATTAAAGTTTGGATTTTTATTGCCTTAGTAGGGAGAATTAGGGTTGGTTTGGTATGAAAAGCATTGGATTTTGCACAATCAATTTTTGAAGATATCTTTACCATATATGTATATTATGGTTCTATTACTTACTTTGTTGCTAAGCTAACATATTTTGTTTCTATTTTATTTGAATTAAATTTTTTTTGCTTTCTATAATTAATGAATCAAGATACCTTACCAATAAGAATGGTAACTTACTTACCCCAAAAAGAAGAAAAAAAAAATGGTCACCTAACTAATTTGCCCACAAAAAAAAAATGAAAATGCTAACACAACGTAACTACTTGCTCAAAAGAGATGAAAGATTACCCGTAACTATTTTTTACTTTTAAATAATCAACCGTAACATATAACATTAACCGAATTTTACAAAATTCATGAGCGGTAAATGTTGGATAAAAAATCAAATTTAAATTTACAAATTAAAAGATGATAAGTTTTAAAATGTGCGCAAATGTCACACCAATATAATTTTCCCTCATTGCTAATCATGTTGATATAATTAAACAATTTAATAATGTGATTGAGAATAAAGATGATGCTTAAAATCCAATTAAGGAATTTATGATTGCCATCTTCGTCCCTTTAATCGGATTGTACACATCAACTCATCATGGGAGGGTAAATTAATTAATTTTTTTCCACATCAAATTGGCTTTCATGATAAGCATATGGATTTATTATTGAAACTCTAACCCGTTTGTTGAATTCCTTTTTTGTACAAACGATAGTTTAAACTATTTTAATTTATGACGAAGAATTTAAACTCAGATGCAAAAAAAACCAAACTCTATTAAATACCATACACATTCTAATGAGAAATTCAACATGCATTGCACCACGTCTACTTAGTTTTGTAGATTTCTACAAGAAAATCATGGGGTCTCCTTGAAAAGCTATGTATGTTTATAAATTGGGGATTCTACCTATTAAACTTTGAGCAAGTAACCTTTTACTATAGTGATAGAAAGAAGTTGAGCCATTGCATGACGACGTGAGTTCGAACTCCGTCGGTGACTAATTCAATATCTAATCTAACAAAATGTATTGTTTGATAAAAAAATAAAATAAAAACTATTAAACTTTGTTTCTATTTAAGCATTAAGACCGATTTGCGTTGGCATGAAACGACAGAAGGAGAGGAAATGTCAAGAGAAAGAAAAAAGGACTAAATATACTAATTTGAAAAAGAGGACTAAATATAATAATTTGGCATAATTTTTAGGGTAGTTGAATTGATCGAAGTTACATATTTCAATCATATCAAAGTTAAGTACGATTAAATCAAAGTTCTGGAATATATCTACATCGACTAAATAACATTATATCAAGGTGTAGCAAGTGATATAATAATTTATTTATTAATTTTTCCTTTTAAACAAATGAAAGGTCGGTTCTTAATTCTCAAAATTCAGAAACAAAGTGTGGTTAGTGTTTTTAATCCCAAGTTCAAATTCCATGTAAATAGGTGTCATTTCTCAATTTCTATGATTGAGAGTTTAAAAATAACAAATTCTGTATTCAATTCCATTGTTCTTTTAGGTTAACCAAACAAGAAAATTTACAAATTCTAGAAAATAAAATCTTGTCATTTTAATTTCCGTCATTTTTAAATTCCTTAGTAATTTTAAATTTCTTCACCCAAACATAGTGTAAGAGTTCACAGTTATTTACACACGCATGTTTAAGTAAAATTCACTTCACCAACGGTTCAGAATCATCTTGTGGATTCAGGGCATTACGACTTTGCCCCATGTTCTCCACAATAGAGGAAAAGTGTATGTTAAAGCTTGATGTAAAAGCAATACCCAAACTTGGAGCAAAGATAAAAAAGGGCCAAGAGACAATAGAGTAATTAAGAAAAAGTAACCTTCGTTTCTCTCCCACTCTTTTGACTACAAAATATGTATTACAAGTTAAAAGAGCTAGTTTACAAATTTTTAATCATGAATAAAAATGAAGGGACAATTTACGAATGATAAACCGTACATGAACCCTTATTTAGTGCCCCTTAATTGGCGTTTTAGCATTTCTCCTGTTTCGCTTTTGATCAAAGTTTTGTAACTGGTTCAATTAGTGTTTTGTTTCCGAACTTTTTTTTCATCTTATAACAATTAGAGCTCGTTTGAAAGTACTTTTAAAATGCTTTAAAGCGCGTTTAGAGAAAATATTTTAGGTAAAAAAGAACTTGAAGTGCTTCTTTCAATCTGTAAAAAGTATCAAGTATATGCTTTTTGTAGAAATTACATCAAATGCTTTTCTATAATTCACTTTCATTTTTATTAAGAAAGTTGAAAGTTAGAAACCTTGTGTGACACCCTACATCAATCAACACCTAATAATCATTCTCCAGAAGCTAAATACAGTTGGTGGAAGAATTTGGTTGCGGAGTTGACCTTCCAACAATAAAGTAGATTTGTTCTATATTCAAGTATCAATGTCGTAATCATAATTCATTAGTCTCTTTCAGATAATTAATTAGTCCTTAAGTTATCCATTTGAGGGAAATATTCCCATAATCTATTGAAACAACTGGCTTTATGATCTGCTGCTTTCCTTGAAGCTTTTGCCTATTGAATATCATGGCAGTTGACAAAATTACCAGGTCATATGTGCCTACATACCATTTTTCTATCTATAATTAATATGTCGTCAATGAGAAAATTAAGATAAAACACTTCATATCTAAAGTTGGCTCAGATTTTGATGTAGATTAAGTGGTTAAAATTAAAGAAAAGACAACGGTGGATTATTGACAAGAAATAACGTAAGAATAATATTCGCATTCAACAATAAAGTATTTTGTAATAAAATATAAAAAGGCACATCGTTAGAATATTCAGGTTGCTTGAATCGGTTTTGAAAGTTTTAAGTTTTGAGTAAATTACTACTAGAATTAACGTCTATATGAATGCTTATATTGGGGTTTTAATTCAAATTATTCATATTATTATTGATTAAACTTTAGAGTTTTCTCTATTTTATGGTAGATTCCAGAGTACTCATAAATTTCAGCTTATGCTCTTGAATTTGACGCTTGTTGATCCTTCTATCCTGTACCCCGCTACGTCAATTTTCAGCATCCTACTAATGAATTACAAAAATAGATGGCTATTAATACAAATTATTACCAATAAACTTTTTTTTTTAATTTATTTATTTTTATTTCAAGAAATTTTTCAGTGTAACTATCGCATAGCCACATAGTATTACTAATTCATTCATGTCATAACACGTGAATCTATTTATTAACATTATATCTTAAGTTTTTTACCTATCAACTATGTCATTTACCCCTGTTATAACACATAAATTAGTAGCACGCTATTATGGTATAACGTATTCGAAGTAAAACACAAGAAGAAACTTTTATTGCACCTTTTGCTTCTGTACTATAATATCATGCAATCTTCCACTACAAGTAATTGAATACAACGTTAGGATGTTAAATAACAAAAACATTATGATTCATAACCATTCATGAGTAAGTAAATTCAACAGGTAGAAATCTCCACCGGAAAATTTGCATGTTGCATACCATGTTATGTCATCGTTTGCGCCCTGAGACGGTCTTTTTCACAGCTCCAACGAGACCAAAAACTGATCGAGGGATGATAAAGTCTTCATGTCATCGGGAGGGAAGTAGCTCGCAGCCTTTCCCAATAGTGATGTGAAGAGAAGAGAGAGTGATGGGCGAGTGACATAAGGCTCATCCAGAAGGTCATCCAGAAAGGCAAATGCAGCTAACAAATCAGACCTGCCTGCGTTGATTGGTGCTGCAAAATGAGCAGGGATTATTCTCTTGAACCTCCAGTCCCGCGTGATTCCATCAACCCAATCCTGACCTGAATTATGAAAATTCTTTGAGACACAAATGGTCATAGTGCTGAATGCATACAAGTTCCAACAATTTCTTGTCATCTTTGTTTGATAAATGCATACAAGCAGAGTGTTGGTCTGGTTATTACACACACACACACACACCGAAAAAGGATGTCTAAATATCATTTAACCACGCCTTTGTCCCTTAGTTAGCAATAACATTTGGCGATTTCACTAACTAGTTTGCATACCGAAAGACGAGCTAAATTGAATACAATCAGAATGGTTCAACTACCTTTTCAGGAACTTTGCTGAAGACAAGAGTCTTTACAATGGGTGAAACTATCAGCTTCTGTGACATCTGAGCAAAGCTAGCATTCGGTTCCAACAGATTTGATGGACCAAGAAACAAAATTTGAAGAACCATTCGTTCCCAACCTACACCAAAAAGTTCGTTTTATTTAAAACTTTTTTCAGCAAAACATACATGATAACTCTCCAATTGGATTACCATTTTACCAAAAATGACACCATAATGAAATTTCGGATTGGAATGGAGGAATGGAGATTCTACCTTTTTGACGGTTCATCTTGTTGTCAACTACTGGTTCTTGAGATACTTTTTTTCCTTTACTAAGAAGTTTTACCGCCAAGCCATTCTTTGCAGATGCCAACAAGGATTCTTTGCTGATACAATCAGGTGGCTGTCTTGGCACAAAAATTACAGCATCTGTTACCAGTAGAGTTCTGGAACGCTTATGATAGAAAGCTACCTCCACATATGGCCCGATACCTGAATATCCACAAGAAAATGAGTTTTTGCAGTTACTTTATAAAAATGAAGTCTCGGATGGCACTTTTGCACTTTGCATTACCAACTTCTGGTGAGCTGAGAACTTTCTGATCAATCTCATCAGCCCATGGAGTGGAAAAATCCTCGTCTTTTAAGGTTTTAGCACGAAAGATCCCAAAAAACTCCAGCGGGAGATTCAAAGGCCAACTCCATTGCCTTGGTGCCACCCATACCTGAGCTCGAGGGAACTCTCTAGAGAACGGACCAACAAAAATTTTGTGCTCATAAGCAAATGTAGGAAGAACTATGTATTCTACGGGAGCCCCCAACTCTTTCAGAAGCTGGCAAGAGACAAGAACACTCATAACAAAAGTTGGATAACAAAAGCATGGATATGCAGAAATTCACAGATCCTCAGAGAAGATTGAGCAAGAAAAAGGTATAAATGGAAAGAATTGTAAGCAAAATATAACCTGAATACACTCTTTGGTTGGAGCGATGGGCGCATGCACCCACAATCCTCCGGATTTTAGTTTGATGACTGTCATTCTAATGTTGGTTGACACACTGCTGAAGCCTAATGCTTGCTCTTGCTCAAATAACCATATGCAGCCTTTCACAGCCTATGAACACACGGAAAAGAGAGTAAACTTACGGCAAAAGCTACAATTCACATGAACATACAATCACTCGGGTCATCCAGAGTAAAAACTTGCTGTGCACTCAAAGATCATAGCTTTGTGTATCCTGATTACTTGATCGATACATAACTTGTTCAACCAATAAAGCACCCCCAGAATCAAAATCTACAAGGCCGTCTTTGAAGTTTTGGACATTCAACTGTGAAAGCTTCTCTCTTCATTGATTTTTACCATCTGAAAAGCTCTAATAAACATGCTTCTACTAGAGTGAGAAGAAGGACATGAAAACCGAAAACATTGGAAGATCAGAATTTCAGTGCGAGCATAAACATATCATGTCATAAGCCAAAACCACCAAATTTTAAGCCATTATTTGCTGAAAACAACTACGAATATATTAATTGGAATAAAAGCAAAAAATAAAACGAGCTTACCTCAGTCCTAGTAGTGCTTCTATTGAGAAAAGGACCCAGTGGAAAAGGAAACCCGGTGAAGTTGATATAAAACCGGTCGCCACCGCGGCCTCTGCTGCCACTGATGGTGGTGGAGTTTGTGGCAGCAACCACCAAATTGATGCCATTTCTGCTCTTGTTTCCGGGTCTCAACTGAAAACAAAAACCCTTCAAGGACCCGCCAAAAAGACTGGAACTTGGCTCTCTGCGAGAGATTGGGTTCTGAAAAATGGAGGATTTTGGAGAAGAAACGGCAATGGCTGCCATTGTTTTTCTGAAACTTTCTGTTAGCACTTTGCCTTCGGCACCACTAGGAGAGGAGTGGTGCATAACATAATGCATAGTCATAGGTTGCAATACCAGGTTGTGCTTTTGACACGTGGAGGATCCAGTCCGATTGCCTGGTATAGATTTTATAAGAATTTTTAGAATTATTGTGGATGGTAGGGATAGACAGGCTAGATAAATAACTTCATGAGGATAAAAGGAGGAAGCATCGAGAAGTTTCGAACCAATTTCATCGATGGTATCTTTCTTGAGCAAGATTATGAATTTCATTTGGTCAATGTATTTTAACGCTTGCGATTTTAAACCCAAAAGTTTACTGATTGTTGCAATTCGAGGACAATGACTAATTCCGTCCATTTCTTTTTACACAACGTTAGCATGTAGACGTAAATCGCCTACATTTGCCCCTAATGTGTGTTTTTCGATGAAATTTTACGTAAATCGCCTACATTTGCCCCTAACGTGTGTTTTTCGATGAAATTTTATCAAAACTATGTCGTCGTCCTACAATCTCAACAACTACAAACATAATATCGCGAAAATTGAAACAAACAAACAAGCATATACTAATGAATCGAGCCCGAACGCTCTTACGAAAAATATGTACAACCAAAAATTCAAAACCTACTACTAATCACCTACAACTATGTTGCAGCAAAAGCAATAGAAACTACAAAACATATTGATTTCAACACAAATCTTCATACAAACAAGAACCCTGTAAAACCTAATCAAACTGTATTTCTAGCAAAAGCATTGCCATAGGCGTGAAGTCGTTATCTTCGTGAAACAAAATCTCCGAAACTAACATGCCCGACCCAACATCTATGAGAGCTGAAATGATTCCGGCAATAACAATGCATCTTAGAACCTGGTAAGTCGTCGAATTGCATACTAAAAGTACGGATAGAAGGCGCCACCGATGTGTAGGAGCAAAGTTGTATTCATAGTGCTTGTGAACAAAGAAGCCAACAGTGCCTCGGCCCTCAGGTGAGGATTTCCCTAACAAGCCAATCCAAACTAGGATATGCAAAGTACAGAAGAAGAAATGACGGGACAGCAAACACAACAGTGATGAATATGTACAAAGCCAATATGGCGGCACAGGCAGGTATTACGTATAAGATGATCAGGAGAAATATGACAACCAGTGGGAACTTTGCTGTCAAATGAACGATGAAAAACAGTGACTTCCGAATCGAAGAATGCAAGCGCTCCACACTAAGGTAATTATTGACAGGGCCATGATTGTGATTCGACCCAGATTGCTCGATATGGCGAATATGTTGCCCCCTCCTGTGGGTACCGTGGCTTGTTTGAGTTCCCACAGATACGTTTCCATTAGCCGGCCAGACTGACTGGTTATCACCAGAGAAGGTAGAACTAGATTTCGGCCCCCTATCACCATTCATGCTCTCAACCATCCAGAGAAGAAAGTAGTTCTTGCGAGGGAATCTGAGATTTCCCCTGTAAACAAGCCGGAAGGACAATAGATTGCACCAAGGGCAGGATATAAAAAGCGGAAGCTGAACTGGTAAAGTGGGGAATTTCACAACCGCCCATTGCAATCCCAGAATGCAATTCTTACAGAGGGTATGGCCACACCATAAAACGTAGGGCACATTTTCAACAATGTTGAACGATTCCCAGCATATGGGGCACTCTAGTCCTTCCTCTCTGCCAACGACCGAAGAACTCTCGTCATCAGAACATTCGAGAGCTGCTTGGATCGGCTTTAGAGGGTCGTTTTTCAATCCAACACTTCCAGCTATGCAGCTGGATGCAAAATTCCACATTTTTTTACCACAACCACGGTCTCACTAACACATCATCACTAACTAAAATTACTTAGCAGTATCTCAAAGCAACCATGATGAAGCTACACTAAGGCATTAGTAAAACTCAGACCTGAAGAAAAACACACAGTAAATTTATCAGGAAACTGGACTTTTTTTAACCGCACTTGCTATTAAACTAATCACATTTTATGCTTTGGGATTAAACAAATCACAGATGCATCTACCCATTACATCTATGAGTTCAAATAACCAGAACATTCAGAAGAATCAGCCAAACATTACAAAATTACTGCACCCCCAAAACCCCAATTAAAAAATCAAACAATCCATAATTTACATAAAATTCGAAAAAGATCCAAACTTTAACAGCTAAAAAGAAACCCCATCTGAATATTTAGCTCCAGGTCCGGAAAATCAACCCCGCAAGATCCAAATCAAAAGTCAAACAATCAAACATGATAAAACAAAAGTGGGTTACGATCTTACCGATTGCAGGGGGCGATTTCGAATCAAATTTTCAAGTGAGAGATGGGGAGAGTCCTCAATCCTCTCTCTCTGTGAGCTGCGAAGAGGAGAGAGACAGAGAACTGAATCGAGATTTTTTTCTTCTTCTGGGTTTCCGGGTATTTGGAAATTGGTTTTGAGCGGTGAGCGATGGAGTGGGTCACCTCACCTGCTGCTCGAAGCTCCGAATGTGGTCCAAGTGGCGTTTGGTTAAAGGAGCTGCCGACGTCGTCACGTCGAAGTCGCTCTACTGTGCGGTTCAGAGTGGCAAAACGCTGCGTTTTGGTTATTCGTCAGTTGGGCTTGAGATAGCATAGTCCATATCCAAATCTAGCAATTTTTGTGGATCCCATAATTCATAATTGGAGACTATATTATTGGGCTTCCAAATTGTGGCCCATTTATAATAGCCTAGAAACCAATCCCATTCCCAACTAAACTTGTTACGGTACTCATCTACCCAGAAAGTCTCTCCTGCGCGCGCGGGTTATGCACATGAATTGCGCATGACCTGTATAAATAGTGGATTGATAACTTATATATACTTCTATACGAACCCTCCTTGTCAACTTTTTTTTTTCTTATTTTGCCCTCATTTTTTATACACATTATTGACAAAATGAGGGTAAAATAGTAATTTTGAACATTTGACAAAATGACAATCATATTCGTATTTTTCATATTTTACCTTTTTTTTTTTTTTTTTTGAGAAACTGACAGTCATATACTTATTTTTCTAATTTTACTCTTACTTTTGATACACAATATTTACATAAGGAGGACAAAACAGTAATTAAGTAATATTAAAAAAAATGCACTTATTAAGAGAAATTGTTCACACACATAAAGTATGTGCTCTCTGCTAGTTTCTATTATATTGATAGTATATAAATATAAAACTATTATTGACACTTCAAAAATCTAATTGTGCACTCCAAACTTTCTATATTTAAAAAGAAAATTATTCTGATGAGAAGTGCACAGTTAAATTTATGGAGTGTCAATAATAATTTTCTATAAATACCGTACCATTATTGTACTATTAATATGGTGGTGATATTAACTGGTGGTGATATTGACTGCTCATACCATGCGCACAACCTACGTGAAAAGTGAATTCATCCTCATCTACCTAGGTAACAAATTAATCTTTAAGTTCTTACAAACGAAAAATGAACTTGACTCGGTGGGATTAAGATCATCTCTGATTCTCAAACTCTGGATCTTAAACTCTAGAGCTCATTGGCTCAGCAATCCGGATCATTTAAGAGAGAGATAAGTCGTGGTTTTGTGTGTAAGGTGGGCTAGTGAGATGAGACTAATAATGGCCGGATGATTTAAATTGAGTGGTCAGGATTGTTGGGTCCGTCTTGAGATCCGAAGATGATGTCAATTTGACTATGTGAGAGCTTGTAGTTTTAAGTTTATTTTATGTTGGTTCGTTTAACTAAGCCTGTTGACTTATGTGCATATTTGCATTATTTTTGTGGTTGTTACTGGATGAATAACTTATTTTCTATTATGAAGTTGATGCACTTTCTCTAGAAATTTACTGGTTATTTGCAGCAAGGGGATTATAACTGAACTGGTAATGAGCATTTATTTCTACGCATGTGTTTGCATTTTTAGTTTATTTTCAGTATAAACTTTTTTATTGACCTTAAGTACAAAGTATTGTTGATGTACCCTCTCATGGAGTTGTGCTGGTTCTCTGTGACTGAATTTTAATGTAATTTACAATTAATAAAATAATTATTAAATAAAGAAAGAATCTCTAAGTGGATAAACTATAGCAGATGTACATATGCATGATTGGGATCTACAACAAAATTAAGCCACACACATTGGTCTAACCTTCTTTACTATGTCGGGTGACACGGGGTTTATGCATTATCAACTTCAACTTTTGAGGTTGTGCATTTTGGAAAGAAAAGATTTTTCATTGTGTCCGAAATATAGAGTGGTATCACATGTCATTACATAAGTGGACGGACATTTAAACAATAAAATTTTCCTTCAGTTATATAATTACATGTGGTATATCACTCTATGTTCTAGACACACTGAAAAATTTCTCTTTGGCAAGTTCCTCTCCTAATCCCCTCCTCTTTCCTTCCTTCTCTCACTTTCTTCTTTGTTTTTCTCTCTCTATATAAAAGTCAGAGTTTACGTGACTTAATCGTGACCATTCAAAGTAGAAGCACAAACCAAAATGTTTGTCAATCGTTCTCGTAATTGATTTAACTAATGGTTCACGCGATCATGCATGCCTCAACTATATATCATATCACATTTTATAGATTATTTAGATCGATGAATGAGATTTCATTGCGTCTATACATAAACTTGTCATGTGAATTTCACATGCATTCATCAACAGCTAAAACATGATCCAGTGTGTGGTCAATAATTGACAATCGTTGATGAATGTGAATCTATAAGCTCCATGCTTACATCCATCAACGAAGAACAATCACACATAGGCGTACGAGCAGCTAGATTGCTAGAGCCGTAGTGTTCGCTAAACTAATACTATTGTATTACGGAATCTTGCTTAATGCTTACTCTAATTATTTTGTACTGTGGTCACTAATCCATATATTAATGTTTGATTAGGGTTTGAAAGTAACGCCGGGAGACTTTTTAGTCCTTGAGTTTTGAAATGTAGTACGTACAGACTGTTGAATGTATTGACAACGAAGATTAATTAGCAATCGGAAAATGATTTTTTCCTGTAATTTACAGGCCCTACGGCCTACGTGAGTAACGTTGTTGTCTTTTTCCATTATTTTTAAGCAAATTAGTGATGAGTATGCATGCCTAACTGTTTTGCTTTTAACACCAAAACTCCAAGAACCACTCCAGAACCAAGAATGTTGTTGTGATGCTAATAAATAAATGTCTTTTTTGTTATATGTGTGAGTCATCAAGGATCCACATGGACCATATCCACAACCATATCTTAATTTGTGTTTGCGTCTTGTGAATTTAACAGTTTCCCCCTCTTATTTTATTTGTTTCTTCACCTATAACTTACCTATAACTTATAAGTGATAGCACTATAAATTTCTCCTCTAGGGCTACGTCATCAGATGCACCGTAATTTGTTTCGTTAATTTAACATGGTAGTGATATCCATACATCTACTTTTTATTTTTCACACACTCCTCAATTTTTGACTGTCGGATCCAATGAATTGAAGAAGATCAACAACAAAAAATTAATAAGGGTGTGTATGACTTAAAATAGGTATGTGAATAACACTTTCCAATTAACAAAGTAGACTAGCTAGGTCATCTTAAGGGAAGGATAATATTTAGTTATTCATTAGTAAGCATGTATTCACTTTCTGATTCGGCTCAATAAAAAAATCACGTGTTCCTTGTTTTTTAAGTCCAAATAACATGTCTAACATAAAAAAGTGTTAGAATATCATTGGACAAAATCAAAAGGTGATACTCACTAATGAGTATCCAAGTATTATCCTTAAGAAAATGATAAACATCAATTTTGAGAGTAATAGAAAATTTTTGGACCAAAATAAAAAGAAGTGCAACTAATGGAATTACTAGGTAATTAAGAATAATGAATATTGGTAAGAATAAAGAATATTTACAAAATGAACATATATTAATTTCCAGTTTTATGTTTTTATACCCGATGATAGATTGAAACCTAGGTTCAACAGAGTGTATACCTTATTGCACTTATCTCTCTTTTCTTACATGATGGGAATGTCATATATGCACTTTGTTGCACCAAGATCACAATGATTCCTTTAAAAAAAACAAAGAGTTGCAAGTTAAGGACTTATGGATGCTAAGGGTTTATACTTCTTTGACAACTGCAGACCTTATGGATGGAGATTAAGAATCTTGATGATCCCGAGCTTTGGTTCCAACTTGCTTCACTGCAAGCTGGGTAATCTTCAGTCTGAATCATACACATATGATGGTCTAAATTAGATCGATCACGATTCAGAAAAAAGGTTATGTGTCAAGTGGCACAAGTGAATATCAGAACTTTTAGAAGACAAAATTAATATATATATATATATGTATGATGTATATATGCCGATAAACATAGCTCTCACTTGATTAATATTGATCGATTATTCTAATTAATTCTACATGATTAATATCAGAATTTTAGAAGAATATCAACTGCTTCATTGGTTTTACATGGTCCAGGCCACAACCAGTGGCTTTCAAATATTTTACCCAAACTCACCGAATCTCAAAATTTTTAATTATTTTGCATGTTATTTAAGCGTAAATAAATTAATTGAAAAGGAATCATTAACCATCAATTGTTTTTGTTACTTTTCAGAATTCCCATTTTTTAAACTTGTTATTTTCTATCCCAGTCAAGTCTCAACTTTGAATCTGATTAAAAATAAAATAAAATAAAACCTCAACTTCCTTTATACTAAATTAGTAATAGCTGGCCCCGAGCACGGTGCACCACGTTTTGCAAAGAATAATGTGAACGATACGATAAAGGACGAAAGTTTATACTGCTGAATATTTAAAGCTCTCAGAATTAAGATTGATAAGGAATCTAAAAACAAGGGTCCTACCCTTCACAGTTCACAGGTCATGAGATAAGTCGATGAAAAATTGAGAATTGGATCCTCCATCCGGATCCTCTGAATTCTTCAATTTTGTTCATTCAACTGAAAATTGAACTTTCAGGAACTAATTAACTTTTTTTTTTTTACTATTCCTTTTCTTTCTCTATTTGAGAGGACTTGGTTCCAGTTTTGGGCAACCGGAGGCAAGAAGATGATGGTGTGGACGTGGTGGGTCGGCAATTGGATCCAGCACCCATCGAAGAATGTAGAAAATTGAAAGATCTGGAGAATTCGGATAGAAGGGATCCAGATAAAATCTTCTCAAAGTTCCAAAAAACGAATAAAAATATTTGAATTTGTTTAAATTATTAGATTTGTTTGTCACTTAATTATAATATTGTAAACATGAAAATCATATGACAAATGACAAGATAACACGTGTACAAAGAATATTTGTATTAATATAAATTTAGGGTTACAATATCTTTACAACTTGATCCTCTTACTCGATCTGTAAGGTGTGTAGTGTTGTTGATCCAAGGGTCGCAATG